CTCAAGAGTCTTCTCCCTGTAGTCCTGAAAGCTCTGAGTAAGAAAAAAGACATAGGATATGTAATAGTTTAAGTGTTTGCCTCATTGAATTGGTTTTTTATTTTATTATGATTTACTGTCTTAAAAGTTTTCCTCTGACTTAGAAGTGTTATTGTGTGTGCGTGAGTGTGTATTTTAACATTTTTAGATGTTTTATAGCTATATGGTTTAAACATCTCTAATTTATCAAATTTCTAGAAACAGTGGTTCTTAAATATTGTTAGTTGTTATTTTGGGGTTTTTTAATGATGATGAACTCCTTTTCTTTTGCTTTAATTATTTCTTCTGTTAGTAGGTCATCTTCTTGCCTATAATGTACTTGTAAGCACAATTCTAAATAGGCTTTGAGTAAGGCCAAATTAACCCTTAAAGAAGATGACATGGACTTTATAGTGGTGATTTTTTTACTTCTCAAAAGGTGATTTTCGTTTTAAGTTTGTCAGCTATTTCCCATGTAGTGGTCAGAAATTTGCTGGTGGCCAAAATGTAATAGTCACATTAATATAGTTACTATTGCTTAGTATCTATTATTTGATAGACAGAATCCACAGGAGTGGCTCTTGGGCTCACCTTCACTTCTCTGCTAATCCTTATCATCTGATATACCCTTCTTTCTTGTTGTCTGTCCTTGAAGGTACTTGCATGTGCCTCACTACCACCACCCCTGCCAGGCTGCTGTGCATGGACTCGTTATGAAATCTTTAAAGCGTACAGGTGCCAAGGAGCACAGTGCCTTCTGTCTTATCTGGTATTGAGCAGAAATTAGGGGAATTCTTTCCTTTTACATTCTCTCACACTGTTACCTGACTGCAAAAATAGTTCTGTTTATACTTCTATGGTCTCAGAGTCCCTTGAGAAAACTGGTCTTTCAGCTTTGCCTTCTAATGCTTTTTTCTATAAAGTTTTTTCAAAAGTACCCAAGGCCAGACTGAGGAAATAGTTTCTTAAACTTATACTTTACTACTCTTCTGTGTTTCCCCAAGATACATTCATGTTTATGTTCTTTACCAGAAACTTCTATGCAAATTGACCAGTGTCCCACAATTAGGCTCAAGATATTTATACGGTAAATGTGTGCACATATACACATTACTTTGTTTCTCTGAACTGCCCTGCAGGGTAAGTAGAAATATCCCCATTTTCTAAATGGGAAACAGACTCAGAGAGATATAGTTACATTCTCAGGTTCACATTGCCCGGAAGTGGTGTGGCTGGCGTTGGAACTCATGTGTGGCTCTAGTGCCCTTAGTTTGCAAGTTTTTTACTTCTCCATTGTATTTACTTAAGGAAAGGGCCAGGCTGCTGTAACAGTCCTGCCGATGAGAACAGGCAAGGCCATGCTGTTTTGACAGGTCATTCAAGGATCCCACCATCTGTAGGGCCTACAGTCAGCCAGTATGCATTAGTAGAGTTTTGCTAGTTATTTACAAGCTGTGTCTCTTCTGAATGATTGTACATATGTTCTGACTGGGTAGTGTCTGTACCATCCCAGCTGTTAAATATTTTAAGTATCACTCTACCCTGAGTTTCATCCTCATCTGTATGGCTGAAGCTAGGCTACTGCATGTCCACATCACAACTCCAGGGAATGGGAACAGAAATCCAGGGCAATCAGCTTGTTGCAAAATTGAGGCAACCTAAAATTTGCACACATCACTTCCTGTCACAGTCCCATGGTCACACTTGGATAATGCAGGCTGCTTGCCTGTAGGGGAGGCAGGGAAATGTCTCTAAATGAGCATCCTGGTGCTCAGCTTAATAGCAAGGAAGATAGGAATGGGAGTCCTAGAACTAAATGGAAGAAGGGAAAAGTAGCTACTTGGAATATTTATCAGTCTCCACCACATCTACATAATGTCAGTTTTTCAAAAATGATTTTGTTCATATTGAACAGAATTACTATAATATACAGTTATACCTGCCTCAGCAGATTATTGTGAGGCATAAGTAAGGTATCGTCTTTTCACAATGCCTGGCACAATGCCTGGCACATAGTAGACATCTAACGCATGTTTGTTATTTTTATTATTTACAGTTAGTATATCTGCATCATTTAAGAGGTAAAATTTTTAGTCTCAGATTTTGTCTATGTTGTAATTGGTAGCCAGGGATGTGTTTTATGCCATTTTTATGATTTCGCATAAATGCTTAGGAATTTCTACAGATTCGGAACATATTGAATTACTTTTTACACTGATTATCATTTCCAGCTTTCAGTTAAGAGATTTTTTTTTTTTTTTAATTTACAAAAACAACCAAACCTAAAACAAGAAGTGCTGATTTTATGTTGAGCCAAGCCTGAGTACACAGTAGCAGGCGTCTACTGGTCTCTATTAAATACTTGCTGATTTTTAGGCTTCAGAGTGAGTTATTTAATGTACAATAAACATATTTAATTAGTAACCAAGTGCAGAAACTACTCATTTGTCAGAGTAGATGTAAAATCTGTCTACTTTTAGAATCCAATATGTAATTGTTAAAATTCTCTTCTCTGTGTATCTATCTGTATTATTACTGAACTGTCACAACTTAGCAAACAATCTTTGATGCTTTACCAACTAACAGATTTGTTAATGAGTAAATATTTGAATATCAGATAATGGACAGAAGTTTCTATTGTGGAGACTGTATGAACTTGCTAAACTGGGATATAAGGTCAAATATTAAAGAATCTATTTCAGATCATAAATGACTAATTGATTTTAAAATCCTGTTTTTTGGACTGAGAAAGTCCTTCAGTTATGCATAGTTTATAATCACCAACATTTTCAACATATTTTTCTAGATAGTCAACCACAATAAACCAAGATGAGATTATTATATGAAATATGTTACTATAATCAAGAATTAGGATTTGTATGTTTTCCATTTAGTTTCTAAGTAAAAATAAATGTTTCCTTATAAGATATTATTATTGCAGTTTTTCTCTTTAGCCTTTTAGTATATGTTTAAGTATAATTTTGAGGAGATAAGAAAAGTAAAATATGCCCTAGATATTGAAGTGGAGTTTAAAGGCAAAATAGCCTATACTCTAAATCAATAAATAAGTAAAACTTTTTAATAGATAGGGATCTTTATTTTAATAGGTACAGAAAATTTTCTTGGTTCACAGAATTTTTCTTAGCCAATTAGTGTCTCAAATATGAAATAAGTAAGTGAGCATGTAGATGAGAGGAAACTATATTAATTCTTTAGATCATTGTCATAGCTTTATTAAAACATTCTATTGTGTACTTACCTATTTTTTTAATCTTTGCATTTTGTGGACTCTTAGATCTGTGGGAGAATGCTAATTTGCATTCTAAATGAACAGCTTGAAGTACTATTTTGAAATTAATGCAGTGTCTATGTAATGTCAGCTGTAATCTTACAAGTTTATGTAAATGCCAAGTTGTAGAAGGTGTATATGTATATAGGACATATATACATACAAATATTTGTATACATATATATTTGTGTGTGTGTGTGTGTGTATATACTTTTTTAAAACAGAGTATAGGAAGATGTAGTAATGGCTCAAAAATAAAATACATGTAATGAAAGAACATTCTAATTAAACATAATGCTATCAAGAGCTTCCAGATAATTCTATAATAATAATAATTGATATAATTTGTCACTATGTTAAGTGTTTTGCATGAATTGTTCTGTTTAAACTATTTAATAGACTCATGACATAGATACTGTTATCTTCAAGTTAGAGTAAACAGATTTAGAAAAGGTAAATAACTTGACCAAGATCAAACAACTAATAAGTGTTTATAGGAGTTTCCTACTGCTGCTGAAACAAAATACCACAAACTTAGTGGTTTAAAACAGCTTACAGTTCTGGAGGTCAGAAGTCTGAAATGGGTCTCACTGTACTGAAATCAAGGTGTCAGGGCTGTGTTCCTTCTGGAAGCTCCAGGGGAGAATCAGTTTCCTCTCTTTCCCAACTTCTAGAGGCTGTCTTGACTCTTTGACCCTGTCCTCCATCTTCTAAGCCAGCAATGTCAGTCAAGTGTATCTCATGCTGCTGTCTCTCTGGTTCTCAATTCCAGTTCTCTTTTCCTTTTAAAGGATCTTGTGAAGACATTGGACCTACCCAGATAATCACAGATAATCTCTAGTTTAAGGTCATCTGATTAGCAGCCTTAATTCCGTCTGCTACCTAAATTCTCCCTTACCATGTAACCTAACCTATTCACAGGGTCTGAATATTAGGTTCAAATTATTTCGGAGGGCCACTATTCTGCCTGCCTCAGTAGTGTAACTGGAACTGGTACCCAACTCTGACTGCCTCTAAAGCCGCTCCCTTGGGAAATTGAACATCCCCAACCAGATAATTCTATAATAATAATAATTGATATGATTTGTTTCATTTTTTTCAGAGTGGTTTTGCCCTTATTGAATGTTATCTCAACAAAGATTGAAAAACTTTCATTGTACTTGAAATTTAGCTTTCTCTTTATAACATAGAGAATAAGATATCTCATTTATACATTGCAGATGCCCAATACGGTTTTTAAATTTTAGTTGGCAGGAATAGAAGACCATGATTAGGATTTACATATAAGAATACTAATTATAGTCCCTTGTGGTTTTTAGAGATTTAAATACTAAATATTGTTGTCGAAAAATTCTTACTTTTATTCTTAATGATCTGATTCCTGGTGTTTTGGGAATTGCTTCAGACAGGAATCAGTATTTAATATATAAGTTTCTATAATTTAGATGTTAACTAGCTTATTATTTCAATGCTCTTCTTTTCAAACTGATAACATCGGTTGCCTCCAAGGAAGGGAAATGGATGTCTGGAAGATGTGGGCAGAGGGAAGAATTTTCACTGTATGTCCTTTTGTACTTTTTGAACTTTGATAAGTGTGAATGTGTAAACTAAAGACAAATTAAGTAAAATTACTAAACTTTTAAAGTAGAATAAATGAACAGCTCCTATTTTTCCACTATCCCTACTCTTCTAGGATCACCCCTTCTGTGTTATTCTTTGAGGAAAACAAGTTCTTCGCAAGGAGGAAAGTCAGACCCTATCAAACAATCCCTTAAGAAGCCAAAGTTACCGGAAGGTCGTTTTGATGCACCAGAAGATGCCCATTTAGAGAAAGAACCACTGACAAGTGAGTACAGTAAAGCTCCTCTCTTAATTTTTGAAGTATCAAAATATTTTAGTTATTGAGAAAAAGAATAAATTAAAGGAAAGAAATATGTTATTGCATATAATTCTTAATAATAATGAAGCATATTTCAACAATGAATAAAATTGCCATATTGACCATCAATATGTGTGGATTAAAGAAAAAAAAGATTTCCAAGCCCCTGACAGTGAATGATTGTGTTTAATTGTTATAGTTATTATGCCCCGCTAGTCACATGACAAAATTGAGACCCACTTTGATGCAAATGAGAGAAACCCACTTGAGCAAACTTAAGAAGAGGATACGGTAGGTTGTTGTTAGGATATAGGGTACAAGTGAGGCTGCCCAGGGCAGTGATACTGCTTGGCTTTAGAAAAAGACTGGGACCTCAGGGCTAAATTCTATGTGGAATCTAGGATATTCTCCCTCCTTTTCTTATTTCTGGTCACTTCTCTTTGTTGATTTCTGTCTTCAAGCTCCCTTTTCAGTCCACTGTGCAGAAAGTACCATCTTCTCGCAGCTACTTAGGTCAAAAGCACAGCCAGACTGAAACTAGACTTTCTTAGTCCTAATTCCAAATTTTCTAAGAAGAGAGCTCATTGGTCAAGCTTGATGTCCACAGCAGAATCAATCATAGTGACCACACCAGAAGATGGTTGTTCTCACTGTGACCACGTGGTTGAGGGAAGAGAAGAGGAAGTTTCGAGAATAGGGGCTTTTTTTAAGGAAGGTCGGGTGATAGACTAAACATTGTTTTGTATTCAGTATATATAAAATTTGGTTAATGCCTTAAAACTCTGTTTTTTTTAAGTATTTTTTTAAATTTTTATTCTATATCCTTTTCTATCTTTTAATTGTAGAATATGTACAAGTATTAGCTATTAAAAAAAATAAAATGTTAGACAGCATAAATCTAAACATATCACTTTGAAACCTTGGAAGCTGCCCTGCTTGTCTGATTTTTCCAGTATATGATAAGTAACCTATCTAGTGAAGCATCCCAATCAAGGAGATATCGATAGAGGATACCAGGACCTCTGTCTGGAACTCTTTCTATAATGTAAAAGCTTTTGTGTTTGCCTATTCAGTTAATATTTCAATTTATAACACTTTTATCAAGCTAAATCTAATAACAAGATCAGTGAACCAAGATGATACAGACTTTTAAAAAGTTGTCATAACCTAAAGATAAAATTTTTCTTCACTTGTTTTAATTAAGCACAAAAATATGAGAGGAAATATTTTCTGAAAATATTACACAAAAAGAAGGCAGCAGTCCCAGAAATAAATCCTCATATATATGGCTAATTGATTTTTAGCAAGGGTGCCAAGACCATTCAGTGGGGAAGGGACAATCTTTTTAATAAGTTGTGCCAGGAAAACTTGATATCCACCTACAAAAGAAGGAAATTGGACCCTTTCTTTACACCATATACAAGAATTAGCTCAAAATGTATCTATCACAGACCTAAACTTAAGAGATAAAACTATAAAATTCTTAGAAGAAAACATTGAAGAAAATCTTTATAACATTGGATTTGACAGCTATTTCACAGCTTTGATACCAAAAGCACAAGTAACAAATGCAAAAATAGATAAATTAGATATCATCAAAATTGACTATTCTGCATCAAAAAATATTTTCAAGAAAATGGAAAGACAACCTACAAAATGGGAGAAACACATCCAAATATTTGCCAATCATGTATCTGACAAAGGATTAATATCCAGAATATATAAAGAACTTCTACAACACAAGAACAACAACCACAAACCCAACTCAGTTCAAAAATGGGCAAAGTACTTGAAGAGACATTTTTCCAAAAAAGATGTACAAATGACTAAAAACACATTAAAAGATACTCAACATCATTAATCGTTAGGGAAATGAAGATCAAAACCACAGTGAGATACCACTTCACACCTACTAGGATGGCTGTAACTTAAGAAAAACTGGAAAATAACAAGTGTTGGCAACGATGTGGAGAAATTGAAACTCTCATGCATTTCTGAGACCTGTCAAATGATGCAGCTAGAAAACAGTTGGGTGATTTCTTAAAAAGTCAAATACAGAACTACCTTATGATCCAGCAAGTCTTACTCCTAGATATATATCCAAAAGAATAGAAAGCAGGAATTTGACCAAGTATCTGCACACCTATGTTTTTAGCAGCTTTATTCACAATAGCCAAAAGGTGGAAACAACCCAAACATCCATTCATGGATGAATGGATAAACAAAATGTGGTTTGTACGTACAGTAGAATGCTATTCAGTCATTAAAAAGAATGATATTTTGATATATGCTGCGATATAGATGGACCTTGAAAACATTATGCTTAGTGAAATAAGCCAGACACAGAAGGACAAATATTATATAATTTCACTTATATTAGGTACCTAAAGTGGGCAAATTCATAGAGACAGAAGATAGAATAGAGGCTATCAGAGTCTAGGTGGAGAGGGAAGGAGAATATTTTTGTTTAATGGGTATGCATTTTTAATTGGAGATGATGAAAAAGTTCTGATTATAGTAATGTCATGTTTACATAGCATCGTGACTATTTAATGCCACTGAATTGTATACTTGCAAATGGCTAAAATGACAAATATTGTTATATATATTTACCATAATCTTAAAAAAGGAAAAAAAGTAAGCACATTTCAAAAGGTAATTTTGAATTAATTTCAAGTCACTTAATTTTGGTTCACCGAAGTTTATGTTGAACATGCCATCTCTTAGAAACTAGTTTGACAGACATCACCAAATCCAACAGATGCTTTTTAGTTCTCATTTTATTTGAACTGTCTGCAACCTTTGACAGTGTTAACCACTGCTTCTGGAAATCTGTCTTGGTTTAGATTATATTTTCACCAGTTTCTTATTCTATTTCTTCAACCATTTCTTGGCTCTTTAAGCTCCCTCTGCCTCGGGCCAGCTCCAAAATGTAGATATTTCCCAGGCCTCTGTCCTTAACCCCGTAAGCATTTCTAGGGAGAGCTCACATGTTTATACCTCTAGTCAGACCTCTCTCCTGAGCTATATCCAGCTGCCTCCTACATATCTTCATTTGCATAGTCCAGCTATATCTCAAAGTTAATATGTCTAAAACTAAACTCATGCCCTACTCATTGTTCTCTCCCACCAGTCACATCCCAGTCCTCTTCCTTCTGAATTTCCAGTCTACCCCATCCACCAGGTTACCCAAACTTGAAATCTGGGGATAATTTTTCACTTCTACCTCTTCCTGCATCCTGGATCCTGCTTAACATCTCTCAAATTTATCTCCTATGATTCATCTTATCAATAAAGCCCAAATTCAAGTTGTGTCTAGTTCTGTTGGTCTCCTAACTAGTCCATCTGCTTCCTTGTTCCCTTCCTTCTAATTCTGTCTCCCTGCCTCTAGTACATACTTCATTCTAAGGAAAATTTATAGGTGATTCCTTTGCAGAAAGTAAATTTCATTATTATGATGATAAAGGAGATTGCAGCTCAGCACCCTGTTTGATGCAAAGATGAATAAAAAAGGAAAATGAGATACGTAAATAACTATGAACAGGACATCGTGTGGTAACTGGCATGAGAGAGAGACAGAAAATGATTGGAAAAAGGTAGACAAAAGAGATAACATTTGACCTAGAGTTTAAAGGAATAATAAAATCATAATAGGTAAGAAGTGGTGGGGAGATGTTTCAATAAAAGCAAGATCCAGACAAAGAGAAAGAGACTGAGGAACATGGCACATGCAAGACAGCTAATGGGCCTTTTTGGCTGCAGCATAAAGTATATATAATGGGTTAATGGAATATAAAGGCTAGAAAGGTAGATTTGGCTCAAACCAGGTTATAGCATATGGGCTTTATGCAGTCGTCAATGAGGAAAGCACGAAATGTTTTTGGATAGAGATTGTTTTAATCAGCTTTACTAAAATATAATCTGTATATAATAAAATTAACTCATTTTAAAATTCACCCATTTTAACTAAACAGTTCAGTGAATTTTAACAAATGTTTACAGTCATGTAACCAACACAAAGTATAAAACCGTTCCATCCCCCAGAGTCCTTCATGCTTCTTTACAGCTAGTCTACCCCTGGCAACCACTAGTCTGTTTTCTATTACTACTTTTGCCTTTTCTAGGATTTTTTTTTTTTTTTTTTTTAATAAATGAAATCATACAGTTGGTGTCTGGCGTCCTTCACTTAGTGCAATCTGGAGGAGAGATTCTGTTTTGGAAAGATTAATTCAACCTCTGAGAGTTAGGCTGGAGCCATGAGAGTCAGAAAGCAGAGATGAATTAGAAAACTATTGCATTAGTCTAGAATGGGACTCAGGTTAGTAGTGAAGAGAATAAAGAGTTCCAGCAAACTGTAGGTTATAATGAGAGTGCAAATTAGGTTAAACAAACAGAAGAAGGGAGATGGATAAGGGATTGTAGTCAGAGAGCTCAAGAGCATGAGATTTGGAAAAAGAACATATTCAAGAGATAAAGTCCAAGTGGATGGCAGAGTGGAGATGAAGATCACTAGGGAAGATGATTGGAGACCTTTGCAGCCCCAGTATGTGACAATTCATTAATATGGATGCTAATATTAACGATGATGGGAAGAGAGATGAAACTACGAACCAGATATTGATCTCATTCAAGAAGATAGAGGAGTGTTTGAGTTTATTACAAGACTGGAGAAAAGCCTTGGACAAGTGAATGCGTCAGAATTCAAAAGAAGGAAGGCCCTAGAGCAGGGGTCCCCAGCCCCTGGGCCACAGACCGCTACCTGTCCGTGTCCCATTAGGAACTAGGCCACACAGCAGGAGGTGAACGGCAGGCAAACAAGCAAAGCTTCATCTGTATTTACAGCCGCTCTCCAGTGCTAGCATCATCAGCTCAGCTCCACCTCAGATCATCAGGCGTTAGATTCTCATAGCAGCACCGGTGCCTGGTGTCAAAAAGGTTAAGGATTTGACAATAGAATGAGAAGCTGGAAGTAGCAGTGAGGAGCAGAGACATCTTGACCATTTCTTTTTTCCCCAGTGCAATGGACTAAATTATGGCCCCCTAAAATCCATTTGTTGAAGCCTTAGTCCCAATGTGATGGTATGTAGAGATAAGACCTTTGGTAGATAATTAGGTTAAAGTGATGTCATAAGTGTGGAGCCCCCATAATGGAATTAGCGCCTTTATAAGAGACAACAAAGAGCACTTTCTCTCCCCTGCCTCCTCGCTCTCTCCCCTTCCCACCTCCTCTCTCTCCCCCATCTCTCTCTGCCATGTGAGGACACAATAAGTAGTGGCCATCTGCAAGCCAGGAAGAGGGCTCTCACCAGGACCTAATCATGATGGCACCCTGATCTCAGACTTCCAGCCTCCAAAACTGTCAGAAAAGAAATTTCTGTTGTTGAAGCCACCCAGTCTCTGGCATTTTGCCAGAGCAACCCAAGCTAAGATACCCAGTGAGCCCTAGAGATATGGGAGAAAGAAGAACTTCTAGTAGAAAGGCTTTCAGAGGAAGTCAAGGCAGAGAGTTCTTTAAAAAACAAAATGATGAGGTGGGTAAGGGAGAGTTTATTCACAGTATAAATGGATAAAAGACTTTATCCTGTCACATAGGATTAAGTGAGGACTGAGTTAATATGTACAAAGTGCTCAGAATTGGCCCTGAGTCAGGATGGTTATTCCTATTGTGAGCACGTTATTAACAGTTCTAACTGCTACAATGTCCTTAAGTACCAGTACCAGCTGACCAGTCATTGAAGCCAAAACCCTACAATAAGGAACAGTAATTCTTAGAGCTAAAGTTAATCGAGCATCCTTATGTAGCTGGCACTATGCTAGACACTTTACCTGTATTACTTTGTTTAGTTCCCAAGACAGTAGGGCAGGTATGATTGTTGTCTCCATTTTACTAATAAGAAAACCGAGGCATTAAGTCAAAGTAATCTTCAAAGTAATCTTGTTTCAAAACCTTCCAAACCCTATGGATTTGTATTCTGTATTCTCTGCACCTCTTTCTTTCTATTTTAATCTAGTAGCACATAAGCAGCCACTCCCCGGATTGGAGCCTGAGAGAGCTCCAGAAATTCTAAGTCACCAACATAGGTAGTAAAATTGACTGAATATGAAAATTATATGCTAAAGTGATTTTTCGAACTCGGGAAAAAGAACCACATTTCAAGACTGTAACCTAGTCAGTAGTATCTAGCCTACCAACTGTATAACTCTGCAACCTTGTCTTCAGAATTGACCATAATACTTTTGCCATTTCTATTGACTGCTTTGTTCACATCTTCTTTCTTTAGAATTTCCAGATGATGTTAATCCTGTTACCAAAGAAAAAGGTGGCCCCCGGGGCCCAGAACCTACCCGATTCGGAGATTGGGAACGAAAAGGACGCTGCATTGATTTTTAAGCCACGTATTCTTTAACTTCAGTATCTTTTTTCTGAATACATACATCTGAAACTTATTTCTGATTATTTTCTTTTTGTATACCCTCTAATTATCTAAATTCCTGTAACGTGTTTAAAAGTACATGAGATGGCTTTAGAAGAAAATATGCTGCTATAAATTAGGAAAGGAAAAGTATTTCTGTTAGCACATTAATTTTAATTTAAATGTATTGAGGTATATAAGTAGTGATTAGAACTGCAAACTTTTGTTTCATCATGTTTTAGTTTAATCAGTTGCTTATAAAATGCAAATGTAAATAAATCAACTTTTTTAATGATTATATTGACATGCTAGGTAATACTGGCTTTTAAAATGTGAGTGAAGTAGTACATTATATTTGAGAAGTCCACAGAAACAACAGAAAAAGTTTTACTTGGAGTCAGATTAGTTGGGTGCAAATCTTAGCTCTACTACTAATTATCTATGTAACCTTGAGTAAGTTATTTAACTTCTCTGTGCTTCAGTATCCTTATGTGTAAATTTGGAGATAATACAGTTTCCGCCTCACAGGGCAGTTGAGAGGTTAAATGAATAAATGCATGTAACCCATTTGAAGCAGTGCATAGAGCATACCTCTCAGTAAGTATTAGCTATGCTTAAATCATGAATGTATTTTTCCAAGTCTCTAGACTTCCTGGGGAAAAAGATTAAGAAACTGAAATTTGAAATACTTGAATTTGTTTCACATGAATATAACATTAAAAATCATTAGTTGGAACCTTAGTGATTATCTGCATGGGTGAACTGAGCTGAAATAGTTTGTGAAACATAAGATTCAGGAAGGCGAATATGAGAATGGCAGGGCATAGAATGGACCAGCTTAGTCAGTTTTGCTGATTCAATAGCTCTTACCCTTGTGGCCTTTGGATAACTGGGTCAGGAAAAGTCAAGTCCAGTTTATAGATCTAGAATAAAGGAAGAATGGGAACTGCTGAGCCTCCCTTAAAGCGTCCTTCGCTGTCCTTCAGCCTTACTCAGTCACAGAGATTGGGTCTTTAGCCCCCAGGCTACACTTAAATTACATAGGAAGAAAGGGTTTGTAAAGCCTATGGAAGATAGAATGAGTGGGCCAGTAACTGTGTGATATAAGTTATAAGTGCAATGAGAAGATTGTAGGGAGACTTATTTAAGAGAATAAACTTTCTTAAAAAGTGTATTGTTCCTAGAACCAAACTAACTAGTGTGGTAGTTGGGACTAGTCATTCAGTCTTTATACCAGTCTCTCTCTCAGTCAACATTTGTTCTTCTAGTTACAGTTACTGTGTATGCTGCTAAGTAATAACCATATTGCTATAAAACGATACTATGGTTAAGTCGACCTCCAATTAGCCCATATTACTGAAGGTTTTTAATAAGTTAACGTTTCAGAAATATTGTGTTAAATTGTATTGTATAGTTTTGCTTGGGTTCCACACTAACCATCATAATATGTGACACAGAAAAGACAACTTACATATTTCAAAAACTAATATAAAATATGTAACAACCAAAGTGTTGCATCAAGATAATAGAATCTTTAACTTGTGTTAGTAGTAACATGATTCATGACAGCTGTCAAATATATAGGTAAAATTTGGTGGCATGTAAAATAAACATTTATGGTCTTTGTTTCCATCAAATAAAAAAAGAAACCAGAAGACTTAAAAAAGGTGATGTGGTAGCAATGGAAATGCATCACTCAAATTTCCTCTTGTGGGAAGTGAGTTGATTTCCCTGTGGGATCCACCACTGTATTTCTGCAGAGGCGATGCTTACCCCATGCTGTTTCTAGCTGATAAATGAGTATGGTGGGGCTACACTGAATGATTATGATGGCCAATTCCCCTGAGTTTTCTTGGCCTTCCCAGAGTTTTCTTAGGACCATGTTATTGTCTGATACTCTTCAAACCCAATCCTTTCCAGCCTTCTCCCCTTCACAGGTGTTAGACTCTGCCTCTTCTTCCCCTTCATAATTCACAAAGTCTCCCCAATACATCACTTTCACATTTAATTCCATCTTAGCATCTGTTTCTCAGAAAACAAACCATGAGGATAAATGTAAGAGAACAATTTATAGACAAATTTTCAGAAAATGTCACACAAAACTGGCTTTTTCTAGTGTAGTTATAGTTTAAACACTTTACATTGCTTGGGGATTTCTGGGAAATTGTAGGCTGAGCTTTTATGTACAAGGCTCATACCATGAAACTGTACATATTAGGTGTTTTGGTGGAATTGAATTATGTCCAGCATTTTCTTATTTTGATGTCAGTTGTTATGACCTACCATGAGTCAAAATGTAATAATGCTTATTATTAAACTAGTAAGAAAAAGCTAAAGCCATGTTCTGCTAGTATATAACAAATGTTTGTTAGAGGAATAGAATAGTTTATAATGAACAAGCTTTATAATAGTGATTGTTAATGATGTACCAGCAATTTTAATGATAATTTCACAACACGACAGTACTTTTGTAAGTTCAGGATAAGAATGGCAGTCAGCTATTAGTTAACCACCAATTAGTTGATCAGTTAGGAAGGAAAGTAAAGTGAAGAGTGCCAGATATTCTGCTAGGCTTTGCGTATTTCGTGATGAGTGAAAAGGATCCCTTGCCATTCCAGCATAAAACCTGGTAGGTTTGATTTGCACATGAGAACAGTTCCAAAAGACAACCGACTGAAGACTAAATGGGTTGCAAGGGACTCTAATTCACCTCAACCAGACCAAAGGAGATTTCCCAGGTTCAATGAGACTCACTTTCTGGGTTTTTCATACTACGTGACTGTTCAGAGACCTGGGTTTTCACCTTTTTAAATCTACACTGGTTCTATGAGATATTTATTAATCAAGTTAAATATTTGTTCTGACCTTGCCATACATCAGCATCCCAAGACATTGACCAAGAAGATATGGAGAGAGCAGAGTGATATAATTAAGATTCTTGGACATAGATTCCTCAGGCCATTCCTGGCTCAAGAAGAGCATTTTTAGTGGGCACCTCTCTGCACAAACACTGTAACTAAAGCTGCCTCTGGCTTCCCTAAGCTAGGGCTGGCTACTATAAATGAATTATAAATATTATTGTATGACTCATGAATAGGAGGCTATATGTAAATATTAAGAAATATTTATGATTGATAAGTATTTAGTACCATTTCTGTGTCCTCTGGGTACTTTGTTCTAAGTCTTCCTCCTTAAGCTCTTTCATTTGCTGGAATAGATACCTCTTTTCTGACACTCCTATAGACTCTTATCTTTGGTTCTAACATGCTGCTTTTTGTATCTCCCTCTCCTTTTTCTTCTCCTTAGTAAGGAAATACTATATATTCTCTCTAAACCAACTTCTCTTTTATAATCCAGAATTAAAGAAAAATGTAGCCTTCTCTATTCAGACTTTTTAGATAAAGATGATAGAACCTATTCTATTTCAGTGGCTATTAAACTTTTCAGTCTTAGGGCCTTTTTAAAAAATCTTTTGAGGTCCCTAAATTGTTTAGGACACCAAAACTTTTGCTTATGTGTGTTATAGCTACTGATACTTATTGTATTATGAATGAAAACTAAACACTTTAAAATATTTTTCATTTTAATAGAACCCAATAATAAATCCATTCTATATTAACGTAAAATAACATCTTTTTGAAAAATAACTAAATTAACTTTTCCAAAATAAAAAACAAGAAGGGTGTCATTGTTTTATATTTTTGCAATTATCTTTAGTATCTAACTTAATAGAAGCCAGCTGTATTCTCATATCTTCTGCATTCAATCTGTCATGATATTGTTTTGATTGACATATAGTAGAGAAAAGCTGGCTTCACACAGATATGTAGTTGGAAAAGGGAGGATTTTGTAGAACCCTGGGAGGGTCTCAGAGACGCCCAGGGTTCTTGAACCATCTCCAAGAACTGCTGAGCTGATTTAAGAAGGAAGGGAGGTACTACATACAGACTCTTTGGAAGGGCTAACAGAACAGACTGAGCTTCCAAGAACAAGTTTCACAATTACACGGCAGTGCTGTCAGGAGAGAGGAGTTGCTGCCTGAAAGCAGAGTTAACTACACCTCTGCAGACAGCAACCTGCAACCACTACTACTATGGGCCCCAGAATGAAGTCCCGGTAGATTCCTTTTCCCCTCATCTAATCCATTTCTGCATCATTGTCTTATTTTGATATGTCTGATCGGTGGACACTAACATCAAATGTCTGTGCCTGAGTGGAGGCTGAGAAGTGTACTTCTACCAAATTCTAGAGATGATGTTTAAAAGACTTTGGACAGACACAACTGTTAACTTGTTCACGGCCATCATCTAAGAAAACTACTAGTTGAGAATCTTTTTTATTGGGGCATACAACACAGAACTGTAAAATATGAAAATATAACATAGAAGTGTAAAAATATGTAAAATATAACATAGAAGTGTAAAAATATGTAAAATATAACATAGAAGTGTAAAAATAAGGCTTAAATCCTTGAGACATGTTAAATGTCTATTCCTGCTCATTTGTAGAATGCTTCCATAAAGATTGAGCGTTTCGGTCTTTGATTTATTTTTGTGCATTTTACATAGCCTTGGTTAATGAATATGAAGATTAGTTATATGAAAGTTCCTTAAAATTCTATGACATCTTATATTCTTTAAAATACAGTTTAGGCATATTTGAGCCCTGTATTTCTAACTTAGTCTTTGCAAGTAGAATCTTATCTGAAGCCTTGAAGTTACAAGTATTCCTAATTTAGCTGCTGCTAGTAAAAAGGAATTATGGACAGATTGAGAAGGGAGTTTGTTATTGATGTAGGTGTAAGAAGGAGATGAAAATCAAACACAGGAGCTTTCAGAAGAGAATATAGATGCTGAAAACAAGCACAAGGAAAAGACTAGGAAAGTGTCTTTGCAGGATTGTCTTCGAGTAGCCCTTTTGGAAAAATCTGAATTTATAAACTAATATGTTAATAGACTCTTGACTGTAAACATTATCTTAAAAATTATATATCCTTAGCACAGGAGGTCACTATATTCAAATTGGTATCTACAACTTTAAAGGCATAAAAAATTTGGATTCTTTGGTTTGTCAGAAGAGCTTCATATTTTGTCTCATTCCTAAGTCAATGATCCAGGTAGATTCCTTATTTTTGAAAAAGGCTTCACAAACTTTTGTTTTGATAGTTATCCTCTTGTTTTCATTCTGCTGGTCAGAAATGTCAGGACTTCTGATGGGGTTGTCTCGTGGCAAAGCTGAACCCTTGCTTTTATGAGTCACAGTCTTCTACCATTTTCCATACCTACATACCAAATGTTTCAATTTGGCAAAAGAACCCAAATCTTTTTATTTCACAGTTTTATGTAGGTTCATGCTGACTAGAATGCCCCCTACCCTTCTGTACCAACATGTATCTTTTCTCTCTCCTTCCAATTCTTTGTGAAATGAAGCTAGGTATAAGTGAAATGTGCTTCTCTACAAAAAAAAAAAAAAAAAAGCTTGGCTCATGTCAGACCTTAATGCTTTTCCAGCTAATTAATCCTGACCACCTTTGGTCATGCCTATCACTACAGCAGCTCCTCATCCTTCTTTAGATACGTGGCCGGCACGCAGATCACTGTCTTTCACAAATGTGCTGGTTGTGGTGACTTGGCCCCCTTGTTCTCTATTCCAATTTTCTGGGGAGCTTTTCTGTTCTGTAGGGGTTAAAATGTCAAAAACTACATTTCTAGTGAAGGTTCTGAGTGCAAGAGAAGTTCTGCCAGTTAGATACACTTGCAATTTGAAAGGGGCCGTGAGGCATGGCCGTCAGCCTGGTGCTAGCTTTTATGGTTGACTGGCACAGTGGTGGAGACTTTGGATTTGCCTGCAGCAGCACTCTAGCATCTAGTCAATGGCCTTGTGCGGTCAAGTGGTATTGCAGTAGTGACATCTATGACTCCTGATTCCTAGGTTGCTACTACGTTAGTATATTCTTGTACTGTACAGTTCCTTTTAGAGACTTGTAATCCCTGACATTCATCATTGTGGTAGAGCTGACAGCCTTCCCACAGCCCCCAAGCTCAATTATTCCTGAAAGTCCAGTCTAGAGTCTGCCCACCTATCCCTTCCTGAAATATTGTCAACACTTAAATGCCTTTCTATTTAGAATATCTAGAGAAGTCCTACAGTAAGTGCTGACTGTCAAGGTATTTTATCTGTGAATAGACCAGTTGTGTCATGACCAGTTTCATTCTGAGACTCTGCACCCGCTTTTCTCTATATATCTGGAGCTACCTACCCACATGGCAGTCCCTACCTCGGCTGACTGATAAGAGTTCCAGAAAGATAGAAAGAGGAACAGAGGAGTGGAAATTACTAAAGAACCAATACAAGACTGTTTAGCAGAATGAAAGAATATATATTACCAGACAAAAGAGGCCTACCAATGCTAATTCCAAGTTATATTGAAATTGCAGACTATCAATTGCAGGGGTAAACAGAACATCAAAAAGCTTCAAAAGAAGAGAGAAAATGTCACAGAAAAAAAATGAAGTATGCCAAGCTTTCTAACAGAACACTGGAAAATAGTAAAGCAATCTGATACAAATTCTGAGGATAAACAATTTTTTATTTGGAATTCAGTACAGTCTATATAATCTGTCAATCAAGTGTGAGCATAGAAGACTCAGTTAATCAAGTGTGAGAAT